CAACATTAAATATACACACATTACATATACATACACAAAAATACATATACACATGTACCATATACACACTTAACACACATGATTTACCCTGTTGTCATGGAAATTGGTCTCGGGGTTAGCCACCCCAAATTTTTCACCTTAATATACATGTATACATATATTTAATATACATGTATCAAGCAGTAGTCATAGTAGTGACAGCACTACTGGGTTCTGTATCAATTCAGTGATTGTTTGCTGAAAATAAACTAAGTATTTACAACTTTTAGAATTGTATAGTATAAAGGACAATATTTAGGACATTTGATTAGCAAATCTCTTTGGCTGGAACTCGACATGGGCTTTTGATTCTGGTGTTAAATTATTAAAGGTGCATCCCTGGTTGAAATTATTCTTTCTTTTTTTGTGGGCAGCTTACAAATTCTTTTAAAATATGAAACCTGTCCTATTTCTTGTAGTCATCTTGACCAAGATTTAATGATTTATACAATGATGCACACATAATATACAGAGAATAATGAAATCTCAAGGCAAACCAATACAAACACTCACCTCTAACACTCATTTCTTGATAATTCCTTCAGCGATTGTTCCAGGTCACCCATAAGCACATATAAATATAATATTCAGCACCAAAAACGCCAAAAATAATTGAAAAGGCACGAGTAAAAAGCTGAATGGTTCGATTCATCAGATATCGTATTTCTGAAGAATCATATTTACATTTTCTGCCAGGCGCAGCAGAATCCCGTCGTGTGTTGACCTAGCACCCCCGCGCGCTCGCTCTCTTAGCCACTGATCTATATAAAAACACTGTAGTGTTGCTAATTTTTAGTACGTTATTTGCGCCTGGGTACGAGGCTGGGCTTGGTGTATGCATCAAAATTCAGAAACCACAAATGCAGCAATGCAATTTCCTTCGAATACAGTATCTTCACTTCTTTCAGTCCAAAAACATAATATTGTTGAAATCATAATTAGGGAATTAAATTTGGTTGTCGTTGTCGTTGTCGTTGTCGTTGTCGTTGTCGTTGTCGTTGTCGTTGTCGTTGTCGTTGTCGTTGTCGTTGTCGTTGTCGTTGTCGTTGTCGTTGTCGTTGTCGTTGTCGTTGTCGTTGTCGCTGTCGCTGTCGCTGTCGCTGTCGCTGTTGCTGTTGTTGTTGTTGTTGTTGTTGTTGTTGCTTATTACAGTTCAATAAAAGAGGCAATAAAGTCGGTTTTCCACTAGCGAATTTTCTTGCGCGAAGGGACCTTTTTCCTTTGTTGGTATCACTTATTACGTCAGCAAGACGTGGCAAAATGGATGCCAACAAAGGAAAAAGGTCTCTTAAACGACTCTCTTTGCGCGGAAAAATTCGCTAGTGGAAAACCGTCTTAATAGAGGGTATAATAAAACGCATTTAAACGCATATTTACTATAGGCTAATGACTCGGCAAAATTATAAAACAGTCGGCAAAAGATCACTCTCACAATCCCCCCCTCTAGAAGAGGGTTAGCGCCGCCCCTGATCGCAGCCCGCGATTTGTAAAACACGAACTCAGTCCGCATTTTCCCGGTCTAGTCCAGTCCGTGTTTTACAAATTCAGTCCGCGATTTGTAAAACACGGACTCAGTCCGCGTTTTCCAAGTCCAGTCCAGTCCGGTCCGGTCCAGTCCAGTCCAGTCCAGTGCGTCTTTTACAACATGCCCTAAGTATAGGATAGACAATGATCACGTGTGTTGAGTGGGATATAGACTCCCGAGAATTAGTTAGACGGCCACGAGGACCGAAGGCCCGAGTGGCAGTCTAACTAATTCAAGTTCTAACAACAAATAATTAGTATTGTTCCTTTTTTATTATGATGGAAGTAGGTTTTTTCGGGCATTAGTTTATTTTATCGGAGGGATTTTAAATACAATGTTTGATCTTTGTTTGGTTTTTAGGGTTTGATTGATTCGGTTTTAGGGTTTCATTAATATGTCAGTAATAGGCATAGGCGTTTTTCGAAAGCACGGACGGACTGTCGCAGCTGGAGCAACTTGAAGCGATTAAAGCGACACAAGATTTCTTGCTTTCTGAACCAGTAAATATTTCAAAATATTTGGGATGAAGATGGAGAGTGTAGCAGGTTCGAGAAACTTACTACAAACGAACACATAAAGCAAAGAGAGAGAGAGAGAGAGAGAGATAGAATTCCAAACAAAATTAGACAAAACACCTCTTGGCCGATAAACGCGT